TATGTTCAGGGCTGCATTGCAACATTGATTGTTCGGATCACTGGTATCTAAGTCTTCCGTTGTGCTATCTTATACTTTGTATTGAAAGGTCGGTTCTTGTTCTGGTCTGCACGTTACAGTATGCAACAAAAAGGCACAAAAAAACACTAAATGGCACTGTGCTCATGGCACGAGTTTGAAATGGCAATTTCAGTTAAAATAAATCCCTTCCCCTCCCCCCCGCCCCCCCTTTCCGGTCTGGCACCACTGCTCGCCCCTGTGGTATGACATCTGTGCCTCTGTCAGGACTGCGGTGCTTTCATTGCCTTTTCGAACTCGGTGGCTGTTTGTTTTGCCAACCCATGTTTTCTTTTGCCTATTTGAAACTCGTGTTCATGCCACGGCTGCCGCCGTTGACCCCCCCAAAAAACTGGAGAAAAGAAAAACAACAACAGTTGCTTCTACAGCCATTCAGACCCTGGAATGGTAGGAAAATGAGGAGGGAGAAAAAAGAAAAAAGAAAGAAAAAAAAAGGAAAAGAGGGGAGATGACAGTTGCCTGTCCAGGCATACAGAGCTTTGTGCTGTTCTGCACACACACACACACACACACACACACACACACACACACACACACACACACACGCACACACGCACCTGTGCCGTCGCTGCATAGTTAATGGTTCCGCCAATATAGGTCGCACAGAGACATGCCGCAATCTGACACATTCATGTTGAGGATCAGTGACAGCCATCGGTTGTACCTCACCAAAAGAAGACACACACGCAACATCATTCAGTGTTCTTTCCTCCTCATCTTCATGACAGAGAAATTAGATACACATCTCAACTTCCAAAGATTTCTCACTCACTTTTTCATTGCAATCAATCAATCAATCAATCAATCAATCAATCAATCAATCAATCAATCGGTCAGGCAAATCAATCAACAACTGATGGTGGTGTGTTACTGTGCCAGCTTTCTTCTGAGCTCAAGCGTCTCATAACTTTGGTCTCTCAAGTCTCTTTCTTTGCTTTCTTTCTTTCTTTTGAAAAGGGCGACGACGGCCTTGAGGTAGCGCCATTGTACTGACCGGCACCAGGTACTTCAGTGTCGTTTTGCTCACTTGATCACACAGAACTTCAACTTGGGTCTGCTTATCAACAGTTCAGGGGTGTACCATTGACCCACATATGCTGGGTAGGGTCTCTCACGTCTAAATATGAAGGAAGGGAAGAAATATACAGGGAAGGGAG